GGATGCAATATTCCTGTTCTACAGGTCAAATTACTCCTGTAAGCAAGTTTCTAGCCGGTTTCATCTTCTTTGAGAAAATTCGGTAGAAATCCAGCCCTTTCTCGACAGAGTGGGGCAGTAAAGGGTAAATAGTGCCCGTTTCTATTTTATTTTCCCATTTTTATTTCTACTGGAACGATCTGAAAGAGTATGGGAGGAAGATAAGGCGATCAGGCGATGATTCGAGGCAGTTGGCCAAAATTCGAGTAAATGACTTTTCAGGGAATTGCTATGTGTTGTGGCGTAAAACATATGAATCTCAGAGAGCTGACACGAAGCGTCACCTAGCGCTCAAGCATAGTCTTTGAACCATTTGTTGTTCTTCGTACAGAATAAAAAATGCTAGGCTGCTAATCCCATTAACGACTTATGGGGCCGGAACAGAACACTCTAGTTACGGCGTTCAAAATATTCTGATCGGATTGAAAATGGTCTATGGCTCGGTGATAGAGTGCGCTAACTGTAATAAACCTGAATATTAATTTGTCAATTCCAATGAATTGGTCTACTCGGTCTCGTATATAAGAGTGATCAGGAAGCGCCCATCCAACAAACCAAAGCATTGGCTTACTCTAGCACAAACTTCGGTTATTCCGTATTCATTCCTCTAGAAACTCTGTAAAGTCTCTTCAAAGGAATGATTTTAAAGCAAAGTCGATATGTGGCATTCGTCTCTTTGCTCATGTTACTTCTCGAAGGTGGCTTCGCTCTCACTTCTGGTGGGAGAGCTTCTCTGGCACAGGTAGAACTTTGTAAACTCTATACAGCTCCAATCATAAGAGGTTCCAGACACTCCGAGGAGTCGACCCTGAGCAACGTCGCGATAGGCTGAGAAACCTGCAACTCGTTGATGTGGTCAGCTCACCTGCAGGAGCGTCTACTAACGTCTCTACCGATGAAAATGTCCGAGTGCTTTTCGTTTTCAAGTCATTTTATTTCATGTAACAATACAACCAATTTGTTTCAGAAAGCAGTCAAAACGAACAAGGCATCTTTCCCTGGAGGTGGCTCGATCGTTGAAAAAAATCGCGTCGCAGGAGTCAGCGACTACTTGTACGAAGGCGACATCAATCTAACCGAGTATGTATGTTTAAAAAATATGTCAGCTGTTTTGCCACATTTGGGACACCCATACAAAACCCTGCCCATCGCACAAAACCCGCCCTCACAGCGTACGGAACAAACTCCGTTCAGGGGCAGATAACAATGATAGCGTAAAAGGGATATTAATTTTCCGTCGCGTTTCAGGGAACAGCTTGCTGCCCTCGAATCGAAGCTGAGCAACGGTACAACTCGTCAGAAGCGTCAGGCTTCCAAGGTTTATCCTTTATGGACAAACAAAAAAGTCTTCTACTACTTTGATGCAAGCTTGGGTATATGGTAACATCATACTTTAAAATGACAACTTTGCCTGACCGGGCTGAATCCATTTTCCTTTCTAGGAGAGCCGATGAGGGCTCTCGTAAAGAAAACCCTTGCATATCTCACTGCTCGCACATGCCTCACCTTCGTGGAGAACGCAACGGCTACAAATCGTGTTCGAGTGTTCAGAGGTGAAGGCTGTTACTCAAATGTTGGTATGATTGGAGGC